CCTGAACTTCTAGGAGAGATACTGATATGTGTATCAAACAAGTACAAACCTGAACCTCTAGGAGAGATACTGATATGTGTATCAAACAAGTACAAACCTGAACTTCTAGGAGAGATACTGATATGTGTATCAAACAAGTACAAACCTGAACCTCTAGGAGAGATACTGATATGTGTATCAAACAAGTACAAACATGACAACCTTCTAGGAGAGATACTGATATGTGTATCAAACAAGTACAAACATGACAAACCTCTAGGAGAGATACTGATATGTGTATCAAACAAGTACAAACATGACAAACCTCTAGGAGAGATACTGATATGTGTATCAAACAAGTACAAACATGACAAACCTCTAGGAGAGATACTGATATGTGTATCAAACAAGTACAAACATGACAAACCTCTAGGAGAGATACTGATATGTGTATCAAACAAGTACAAACATGACAAACCTCTAGGAGAGATACTGATATGTGTATTTGTACTTGTTTGACCTGAACTTCTAGGAGAGATACTGATATGTGTATCAAACAAGTACAAACTGAACTTCTAGGAGAGATACTGATACGTGTATCAAACAAGTAAAAATATGACAAACCTGAACCTTTAGGAGTTAAAAGGTAGGGAAAGTGTTTGATATATGAATGTTACAGCATTTTTTAGCTTAATTAAAGAACTTTCAAGCACTGTGACTATTGGTTAATATACAGGCCTTTATGAAGGTGTATGGTTCAGTGTAACACATTGATGCAAAAAACTTTTAGATGTACCGGTGCTGTGTTGGAACGAGGTGTTTCTCTGTTGTTGTTTTTAAATAGCTCAGTTGTGATTGTAAGATAATCAGGATTCAATAAGACTGGAGAGGTAAGTTACTTTGAACTACTACTCGATTTGTAAAATAGAATCAGATCTGATCAGAGTTGCCATATTTAGTGTACATTAATTCAATAAGACTAGACACAAGTTTCATTCGAACTACTACTCAGTTTGGAAAATAGAATGAGATCTGATCAGAGTTGCCATATTTAGTGTACTTTAATTCAATAAGACTAGACACAAGTTTCATTTGAACTACTACTCAGTTTGGAAAATAGAATCAGATCTGATCAGAGTTTCCATATTTAGTGTACATTAATTCAATAAGACTGGACACAAGTTTCATTTGAACTACTACTAAGTTTGGAAAATAGAATCAGATCTGATCAGAGTTGCCATATTTAGTGTACATTAATTCAATAAGACTGGACACAAGTTTCATTCGAACTACTACTCAGTTTGGAAAATAGAATGAGATCTGATCAGAGTTGCCATATTTAGTGTACATTTTTTTTACTTCATTATTCATGAAAAGGAACAAAATATAATAAAGGCCTAATCTGTAAACATTACTGTACTACATTTACCAACAATTAAAAACAAGATGGCTTCAGGGAAATAATATATTATGTGGTAATATGGGTTAATTAATCTTTTTTACACCGGTTCAAATTTGTACTTTTTTTGTACATACGCATGTTCCCACAGCTATAGAATATGATCCCTTTGCTGACGACTTTTCAGACAGGTAATAAATTCTAACTACGGCCTTAAAAAGTTAACTTCCACCCCCGATAAACAGATATTGTTTTAATTGTTACAAAATTTTAAGCATAAGTTCACTGGCTTTCCAAGCTCATTTGTAACTGTGTAAGTATGATTTGGTTTTCTGTTCAAAACAGATATAATATTCAACAGTTCACATAATAAAAACAAAAAACTATATTTCAAGTTTTTCTTCTTCTATATGCTTGTTATTGATTCTTCAGTTTCAAGTTGCCCTAAGTTCGGATAGGTTTTCAAAACTTCAAAAAACATTTCTGGGCACTTTAGCAAAATAATGACATAGCACTAACTAGGCAGAAGTTTTGGCTATTACTATAAATATGTACATATAAATAGGCCTATCAAGAGGGCAAGGGAGCTAGGGAAATATCTTCAGGGCCCTAGTAGAGGCAGGGGGAATTTACTGATAAGGAATCCCACATATCAATCCTTCCTCAGGTTCCATGAAAGTTCTTGGTGACCCTGCTTAGACACACACACACACACGTTTTACCTATACATTGAAAGTATTCTTCACCCAATAGATGTACATCAGTTACCTTGTCTCCATGATAAAACCATCTTAGTTTCTTGCACTTTGATCCAAGAGCAACAGCTAAAAGAAAAACAAGTGTTAAAAAATATACATTGAAAAACTGGATTTTGTAATATCAGAAGATTTTGCTAATTGTTAGATACATATTAAGCTGTAACACTGATAGCAAAAATTTCTGATACAAGGAATTTTTTTCTGGGAGGGGGATATTCCAAACACTTATCCCTAATAATTTTTGGGATTTCACCTCCCTCCCTTGGTCATTCTTCACTATGCATGTCACATCTGCTATTTTTATCACAGTTTTAAAAAAAAAAAAAGATAAACAGCTCATTAAAATTATTTTTTTTTTACGATTTGAAAACTGTCGGAATGTGTTTCAAACACCCAATCTTAAGTTTTCCGTCATAACTTTAATAGTTGAATGCCTTTTTATTCTTAATTTCAGACACAGAATGCCAACAAAACTTTGGGAATGACTTGTCAGCCAAAATGTATGAGAACACTATTTCATAGCTCCCATTTTCTGTATTCCATCTTCTGAGCTACCACTATATTTATATTTTGTTTTATTTTAGATTAACAAAAACTTAACTATGATTCACATAAAAGTATTATACATAATACAACTTATCAGAAAATGAGATTCCAGCCAGTGGCACTGAGGTTCCACATACTGTGTGAGCATGCAAGCAACCATTCCTACCCTCCTACCAAGTCCTAACAAAGTGTATATATTTTTATATTATTTTCTCTTTTTACTACCAACTAGGTCAGGGTCTGTCTGTATTATTTGTAAGCCAAAAATGTTTACTCCCAGGTGGTTGGCCCAGTTATTAACCATATAATTGGGGATTCAAACTCATGATCCTCAGATTGTAAGTCAAGTGCCCTAACCACCAGGCCATGCAAGGCCCCTAACATAGTATACAAACAATAAATAGACTTACTAGGAAAACAGCAAACATCACAAGCTTCTGAAAACCAGGTAAGTAGACAGCTTTAATACAAATTACTGATACGTAGCTTACAATAAAAAGAAAGAAAAAGTAAGAACTGGATACTATCACAAAAAGTGAATAACTTTTTGGCTCTGATAGACTGAGTTTTTCAAAGTTCTGCAACATGATAGATTAATTTCATATTTTAGGGCAGTTTCTCGGTACACTACCCAAAAGGTACCAATATTTCTGTTAGCAATATGTCATACCAAGGTTTATTTACCACAATACAAATTTACGAACTATATTAACTTTGGTTTTAGCCTTAGCCTTTATTTATTTTTCCACATCTTTATGTCTTACATAAGAAAAAGTTTTGTGCATCTTCTTTTTAACACATAGAAATCTGGAAGACAAATATTATACCCGTATGTCGTAACAACATCAAAACTTACCAAGAACACCACAGGCTGAGTGGTCTAATATCCCTCCATGTCCAAATCTAACACCATACATATCGGTGTTTAACCCCAGATCTAGAAATAGGTAAGGAAAACACCAATAAAATACAATGAACCAGTTTCAATATTAGAACACATTGTTCACTTACATTTACTTCCTTCCATGTTTCAAAACAATCTTTTACATTAGTTACACAAGAGATACACCTGCTAATACTATATTTGAAAAGTTAAATATTTCTCTAAGATAATCATAATGCATTAAAGAAACAAATGCAATTATTTCAGCTAAAATAACAAATATATCAGCTGGTACATAACAAAGAAAAATAAATCTATGTTTTTATCCAAACTATAACTTTAATTCAAAACAAGAAATAACACATAATTGACCAATAAAAAACAAAACTTTTCCACTTATTACAATGATACAAAAACTGTTACCCAACAATAATGGATATTTGTCTCAGTTATAACCCTATCAATAACAAGTCTTCCCGAAAATGACTTCTTTTTTTTGTAATTACCAACAGTACTTAAAAATTTACATAACTTACAAAATTTTACTCAATATTTACTGTCAGCTCTACTTGTTGTTTTACTCATTCTTTACTGTCAGTTCTACTTGTTGTTTTGCTCATTGTTTACTGTCAGTTCTACTTGTTGTCTTGCTCATTGTTTACTGTCAGTTCTACTTAGTGTTTTACTCATTGTTTACTGTCAGTTCCACTTGTTGTTTTACCAATTGTTTACTGTCAGTTCAACTTCTTGTTTTACTCATTGTTTACTGTCAGTTCCACTTGTTGTTTTACCAATTGTTTACTGTCAGTTCAACTTCTTGTTTTACTCATTGTTTACTGTCAGTTCCACTTGTTCTTTTACTCATTGTTTACTGTCAGTTCTACTTGTTGTTTTACCAATTGTTTACTGTCAGTTCTACTTGTTGTTTTACCAATTGTTTACTGTCAGTTCTACTTGTTGTTTTACCAATTGTTTACTGTCAGTTCTACTTATTGTTTTTGCATGTGATAGCTTATATAACCAACTTCTCACATGGCACTCCCCTCAACATAAACATAATACACCAATTCATCAGAAGTAGAATCTTCTACTAGCCCAACAACATGTTGTTCTGTGTCAGTATTCTCATGACATCAGACTAATTGATTGAACTTCTACTATACTGAAATCACGAGTTTTGGGTAAGTGACAAAAAGCTATAAAAATGGATTCAAGGCTTGAATTTCAGGCTATTATGATCGGGTAAAAACAATGGAACCTTAATGATTTTCTGTCAGTGATGGGACCATTTTCAAAAATATTAAGAAGCCAAAAATGTTCCTCGTTCATAATACAATTAAACAAATTTTAGTTACGCTTTATAAACTCTTGACTCATTATTTAGTGAATTAGTACATACCTTGTATATTGACAGGCTTTATTCTTTTTACAGTTATCTCTACAAAATTAAATCATCTAAAAAACAGGAGGGAATCCTCAATAGCCATGGCACTTGAAATCATTTTAATTAATTTTGAGACCTTTTTTTTTCCTTTTTATCAGCTATATTTTTGTATGCCAGCAATACCAAGCATGGGGTGCATGTATACACAATTTGATTTTATTACTCATCAGGATTTCTAACAGCCTACGTTCAAATTGAAGTTCTTTTAGGCAGGATTAATCTACAAGACCTTGGAAATGTTCAAATACATCAATTGAAAGGGTTTGACCTCCTGAGTCGAAACCTATAATTAGATCTTAAATCAGTCAAGAGATGACGAAGCTATGAGCTAAAAGTTTGTACTTGAAAAACTCAGAGCCATTTTATGAACCACTATGCCACAGCTAAAAATTCCTTTCAACAGCAGTAGAAAAAAAAAATTTAACAATATTCATGCCTTGAATAAGTTTCTATTAGGTACAGTAGTTTTGCTATAAATTATTAATCGTAAAGAAAAAAAAGACTAACAAAACATTTAAGGTATGTTACCGTTTAAAGTTTAGGAAACATGTTATGAAGAAAAGTTGGTAAACCATTCTTTCAAAGAATTTATCTAAGCATGCTGAATCAAAACAGTTTGTTTACCAAACTCAGTTTTTGGCTCGTTGACCTCAAAACTACAAAACAAAAGGCACCATATACTTCATCAACTGTCTATAAATTACAAACTAACAATGATGGAGCCATGATCTTGGTGTTTAACCCCATGGAACCATAATTTTGGCATACAATTTTGTGTTATTATATGCATTTACATATAATTTAAGGGCAACAAAAGATTTATTGGTCTATCTAGACCACCCCATACACAAAACTATAAAAGAAAAAGAAAATACTCAAAGCCAGCCCTTATCATTAAAATATTTATCAAGCCTTTCCTTAAATTAACAGCATCCACCACATCTGAAGGCAACCCATTCCAAAGGCCCACCATACCGATATAAAAACGGTTGTCTTAGCCGAAGAGGACTCCTACCCTGCCAAAATTTATATTTGTGTCCCCTAGTAATGTTCCTTACATGAAAAAAAGGGCAGTAGCAAATGCAAGTAAAAAACCAGGGTGGCTCAGAAATGGTATAAAGTATGAAATTACAAAAATGCATTACAATATAAATTTCAGAAGTTTAGACTGACTGAGGAGATTGTCACTGTCTCAGAGACGTACATGCAGGAAGGGATAACTTTCATATTAAAACTTAATAGTAAAAAATATTACAAGAGATTGTACATGAGTGGACTATAGCAGCATATGCAGAAACTAGAGATAAAATATTTAGGTTACCTTCCTAGAAGCAGAACCAAATTGTATTGACATTATCAAGATTAATAAAACAAAATCATAAGCAGAGAAAGTTCCATACTAGTAGTACCAATGTAAGAACTTACCGTCTTCTATTTGTAGCCTCAAAAATCTCAGAACGTCCATACTAGTCATCCCCTTTTCTTTATAAACAGAAAATATTCCTTTTAAAGATTTAGCCATTTTTCTGGGATCCTTGAAATTCTGAAGCATCTTTCATGTTATTTTTGCACTTCTTAGAGTTTTCAAATATCTTCTGAAGTAAAACTATGTAAATCTCAACCGTCAGTTTCGTCTTATAGTTTACACCATGAAAAAAACCTATTTATCTCCATTGTACATCCACCTGCCGGACAACATTGACTAACTGTAAAAATGGTGACTAAATGGATTTATGTAATATTTATAAGCATTAAAGAAACTGTGCTATGAACAAAACACTGAAAGAATATATAAGATAATTTAACGAAGATGACTGTATTTAGCTTGGCACCTTTTTTACATTCGGGGTAATGTTACCGTTTGAGCATTAAGTTTGTTTGTTTGTGTTTAAGCACAACGCTACGCCATGGACTGTACACACCAAGGGTATCAAAACCTAGTTTTCAGCGTTATAACTACGATAGTCAATTCCCCTTGGTATTGTTGAACACTGACTATCGAGCGAAGCTGTTTGATGTAATCTTCGTAGGTCTTTCCATTTTGTAGCCTGTTAGGCCACCCCCGGACATTTCACTCTAATAATGTTGTTTGTTATATTTGTATATCCATCGAAATAAACTTTTAATAATTGTTAAAACAAATTATAATTAACATTTTATAAAGATAATATTGAAATGAACATGATTACTGTAGCATATATATTGTTATTGTTTGTTGAATTTCGCGCAAAGCTACTCAAGGGCTTATCTATACTAGCGTCCCAAATTTTGAAGTGAAAGACTAAATGGAATATAGTTGGTCAACTCCACCAGCTCTTGTGCTACTCTAATGGAATAGTGGTATTTAACTGTCAGTCTTATAACATCTCCACTTCAGCAAAGTGCGAAGCGCAATGTTTTTTTTTTGTTTTTTTTAGGGATAATGAGACACGAATCTCGGATTCACAGTTTGGCACATTAACCACTGTGCCGCGCTCGGCCTTGTATTTTGATTATAACTTTCTTATGATTGTAGTTTATCAGAAATAAACATCTGGTGTATCTTATAGCTCCAGAATGTACCTCAGAGAAGATAGTTAGGCCCACTAACTGGAGGCTATATCGGGTATGAGAGTCTGTTTCTCCCCGATCTACGAACTGGTTCGTCACACAAGGCATTGGAAAAGACACTAATATCTAAATTAACGAAAATGCTTAGTCACAACAATAAACAAAACACAATACAAGACAGTACAAAATAATAGGGGAAATGTCTCGTGGGTGTATGTAAAACTGATAAATTAGTGAAGATAACCTTTATTTAAAAGCTCTCAAAAATTTAAGTGCGAATACTCCTACATGTAAGTCAAAAAATGGTAATTTAAAAATAATCCATACAAGTTAATAAAGAAATCATTATAAAAACAATAAGTAAAATCCAAGTGAAGCTTGGATTTTACTATAAATCTGCTTCATTAAAATATCGGACTCTGGATTCAACTCTAATTCCAGTTAAAACAAAACAAGTAATCAATGCGTTCATTTAAAGCAAATGTCTAAGTAAAAACAACTCAATGTCAACTCTGAAAGTTCTCGTCGTCTAAACTCGTCTTAGACAAAGAAAAAACAACAACAAAAAATATCAGAGGAGACCTAGAGTGAGGCTATGCTCAATACTTATAGCGTAAAAACTTGTGAAAATCTGACACTCCCGGAGCAAACGTTACGTTAAATATGACAATAAACCCCAGTAAATTAATATATAGAAACTCAAAATTTGTGCCCAGGCCTATAGTGGGCGAACATGTAGTGTGTTTGTAAAGGGCTATCTTTAGTTTTTATATTCTCTAGCCACATAACCAGTTATCTTTCTTGGAGGAAGACACAGATAACGATATAAATACTACCACACACACACAGCATGCTTCTAGTGAAAGGTAAAGTTGAGTAACTTACTTGAGCGCCTCCCTGTCCAATTGGAGAACTGCAAAAAATACAATAATTTAAAACATTTTGCACATTAACCGAAGGAGTAGAAAATACATATTGCAGTTCCATACTAAACTCATGTATTCACACATCCTGACATTAAATTTTTCATATTGTTACGTCTCCGTTCGTTGATTAACTTTCCGTAACTTCGTTCCGACGAAACTTTAGCGACACAAGTCCTTGCTTAATAAAACTGGTTTATTCTTTCT